TGGGAGGCCCTGTGGGCGTCTACCCATTCACATGGCTGGGGCTGAGGGGCTAACCTGGGACAGTGGGAGGCCCTGTGGGCGTCTACCCATTCACAGTACGGTGCCCGCCTTGAGTGTACTGTTGGCCCTGCTCAAGGCGATGAGGAAACCATGGAAGAGAGTTGATCCTGCTAGGGTTTGAGGTTTGGGCCTTGGTGTCTTTCAGCCGCTCCTCCTCAGTTCCTGCCCCTGGTTAGCGCAGAGCTGACTTACTCTTGCAACTGAACTTGTTGCCTTGGGGTCCCTTCCCTCTTTTGCATTAGGGAGTGCTCCCCCTAGGTCTTCCCTCCAAGACTCATCACAGTGCCTCCACCTCCATCAGGGCCTTTGGGGTTGACAGTTGTCTGCCGAATCTAGTGCCCTGGAAGGCTCCTGGAATCCTGCCTGTTGCTGGGGGCTCTGCTGGCACCAGCTGTGGCCAGCTGCTGAGCCTCAGCCCACTGGACTCGGCAGAACCACCCGCCTAAACAGCGTCAAAATAGCTTCTTCCCTTCCCAGCGCTGGAAGGCCCTTCCTCTCTCTAGGGGAGAAATAAGCCAAAACCAAAAACAGGAAGAGAAAAACATAAGGATCCCAGTATGTGCAGTACCTGGTGTGACTGTGTGGTGTGTGTGGGCTTACGAGCTATCTGTGTGGTTGTGTGGTGTGTGGGCTTATGGGTTATCTGTGTGGTTGTGTGGTGTGTGGTATATGGGTTATCTGTGTGGTGTGTGTGTGTCTATGGGTTATCTGTGTGGTGTGTGTGTGTGTGTCTATGGGTTATCTGTGTGGTTGTGTGGTGTGTGGGCTTATGGGTTATCTGTGTGGTTGTGTGGTGTGTGGGCTATCTGTGTGACTGTGTGGTGTGTGGGCTGTGTGGTTGTGTGGTATATGGGTGATCTGTGTGGTGTGTGTGTGTATGTCTATGGGTTATCTGTGTGGTTGTGTGGTATATGGGTTATCTGTGTGGTGTGTGGGCTTATGGGCTATCTGTGTGATTGTGTGGTGTGTGGGCTATCTGTGTGTGGCTGTGTGGTTGTGTGGTATATGGGTTATCTGTGTGGTGTGTGTGTGTCTATGGCTTATCTGTGTGGTGTGTGTGTGTCTATGGGTTATCTGTGTGGTTGTGTGGTATATGGGTTATCTATTTGGCTGTGTGGTGTGTGTGCTTATGGGTTATCTGTGGCTGTGTGGTGTGTGTGTGCTTACGGGTTATCTATGTAGCTGTGTGGTGTGTGTATGAGTTGTCTTGTGTTTCCTGGGGTGTCTGAGGTGTGAAGCAGGGTTGGCCCATTGCTTACTGAGGTATTTTCTGGAGCGTCAGAATATTGAGGTGTGGTTTGGGGGATGCATATGGGAGTGTTAAAGTGTGGAGCAGTGGGCTGTTTAAGGGGTGTGGAAGGTCTGGGGTGTTTGAATTGAGATGTCACTCTATGAAGTGTCAGGGTGTACAGGACGAACATACTTTAGGCTGTTGTTTTGGGGAGTGTAGGAGGGTTGGAAGGTTGAGATGAAGAAGAGCATGGGGTACGGGACTGTTATTTTGGGGTGTTTAGGAGGGTTTGGGTGTATGTCAGAATGTTGACATAGAAACTCTGGCTGCTGTTTGGGGAGTGAAGAAGTGCTGGAGGGTTGGAATATTGGGCTGTTGGGTGTGGGGGGGTTGGGAAGTTGGTGGGGAGTTGGGTGTGTGGGAGTATTGGGATGTTATTTTGAGATACACAGGCGGATTGGAATGTTGGTGGCGGGGAGGGCTGGGGTGTGTGAGAGCGTTGGGCTGTTGTTCTGTGGGTAGGAAGGTTGACGTGTTGCTTGCTGGGGTATGTGACTGTTAGTATACTGGGGACCCCTGCACTGGGCTGGTCTTGTGTGCATGCATGCCCATGCATTGCCTCTGCTTCTGTTCACAGCCTACTCCAGCATTCCCTCAGCCCCCATGAGCCCTCTCTTCCCCACAGTGTTCCCCAGGCCCCATAAGTGAAGGGACTCCAGCCACAAGGGGTCTAAAACACAAGTCCCTTTCTGAGAGCCAGGCCATGCCTAGCATCTCTGAGGACAGAGACTGTGTCTCCATGCATGTCGTGTTTGGAGCCAGGCCATGTTCTGGGCAGGCTCTCTGAGCTGCCTCCTCCCCTTGCCTGAGTTCTCAGCCTTATGTAGATGGAGCCTTTGGAGGCTGGCCCTAAAGTCTCATGTGTCTGTCTCTCTGCCCCACAGCGGAGTTGGAGTTCGTGCAGATAGTGGTCATCGTGGTAGTGATGATGGTGATGGTGGTGATGATCACATGCCTGCTGAGCCACTACAAGCTCTCAGCCCGCTCCTTCATCAGCCGGCACAGCCAGGCCAGGAGGAGAGACGACGGGCTGTCCTCGGTAAGTGGCTGCTGGGGCTGCCGCCTGGGTTTCCGGCTGCGCATAGCACTCTGACTGAACAACCGCATCACCCTACCTGAGTGCCTCAGGAACCAGGATATGGGCCCAGAAACCCCTGACTTCCCGCAGTCAGCAGAACAGGAACGCCTCGTGGGTCTGGCTCAGCCTGCTCTGAGGTGCGGGCGGGCGGGAGGCCCAGGGGTGACTGAAGGTTTGGGCTGGAGGAATGCGCACCTTCGAGGCAGACGTGACATGTGCCTGAGCCTGAGTCCCCAGCACAACCCTGGGGCAGCTACAGCAGAGAGGCTTCTGCTGTCTTCCCAGAGCGGGGAGGAGGTGTCAGGTATGATTGTTGTGGGCTTCCAGAGCCCCTCTGAGGAGCCCCACTGTGCAAGGCAGGACTAGAATTCATCTTAACCGCCGCTGTTACAGACTGAGTGGGAACAGGGTTGGGGGGAGCAGGGAGACAGGAGACAGCCAAGGGGAGACAGCTAGGGTGTGTGGTGGCAGGTCAGGCCTCCCAAGGCCACGGAGAAGCTAGATGACATGGAGCAGAGAGACAGCAGCTGGTGCTCGACCGGGTGCCCCCAGTCCTGTGGCCGTGACCTAGAGAGAAGGAGGTGGCAGTCCTGTCCTCTCGCCAACATGCCACCAGCACTTGGGCCCTGTAGTCCGAGTGCCTTGGGAGGCCATGGAAGCAAGTGGACCCGCAAGAGCCTCTCCCTGGGCCTGAATCTCATCTGGCTCCTCAGGTATGATGAGCCAGCAAAGGCACCTCCTGGGTAATTCAGGCTTGACATAGTAAGCTAGCCATCTCTGGCTGGAAGGCTGCCTCATCCACGTGATGTCTCACCCGCCAGCTCCCGGCTGAGGGCTCCCTGTGTGCCCAAGCTCCCCTGGCACAGGAGACAGCCAGGCCCGTCCCAGGACTGTGGGTGGCAGAAAATCATAGAGAGGCAGGGGCTCCACATAAGGAGCTTCCGGCTTGGGGGAAGCTGTGGGTGAGAGCTGCTGGTGAGCAGCTCTGAGGTCCAGCTTTATGGCCGGAGACATGATGCTCCTGAGGGAGGGAGGACCAAATCAGTCTAGCCTTGGATAAGAGTTCAGGGGCTCAGCCATCCTCGGAGCCCAGAAAGCAAGCATTCCTATGTGTGCTGGGCCCCTTGTTAGCCTGAGTGACACTGTGTAACTAGTCACAGGTCATTTATTTACATCCTACCAGGGTCATTCACCTAGTGGTAACCTTAATGCACCCAGAGGAGCCGCTTGATCTCTATGCAAGCAAGCAAGTGTACACACACACACACACACACACACACACACAAAGGGCTTGAGCAAAACTAGTCTTGGTACCTCTGGGGATCCTAAAACTGCCCTCTGTGGTACTGAGGAACAGTCATACTGAGCCTGAGGGGACCCTGGCTGACATAAGATTGTGTTTTGATGCATCAGCACTGTGAGCATCAGGGACTTCCTGGGACTCAACAGCGTCCCCACCGGACTCCAGAATCACTGCCCGTGGGTGGCACTTGTCTTCTTGACTGTGACATGGGGCCCCTCAGGTGTTCACCATCACTGACAGTGGCATGGAGGGAGCTGTCGTCTCTTTGTGGCTCACAGTGCCGGACAGGACGTGGCTGTGGTGCAGGCAGGCAGTGGCAGGGGAGAGCTAGTGCGTGTGCAGCCCCAGGGGGCAGTCCGGCTCCAGGATGGCTCAGCAGGTGCTTGGAGGATGGCATGAGATGGGCCATGCTGGGCAGAGTGCCCCGGTTTTGGGGGATGTCCCAGGCTGGCAGAGGCACCTAGAGTCTAAGAGTTAAGCCAAGACAGAACTGCCCGTTGCCTGAGACAGCAGGGCTGTCCCTGGCAGCTTTGGGCATCTCCGCTTGCGTCAGGCCCAGTTTCAGGGCGTCACGAGTTCATCTGGGCAAGAACTGTGGCAGAGACACAGGCACTCCTGACGGAAGCCCAAGACACATCCTGAGGGCAAAGCCGGCACCTGCTGTGTCGGAATCCTGCCTGCCATGCCCTGGCTCACCTGGCTCATTTGTTATCTCTGTTACCTAGCAACGGGCACCGCCATCTGCCTGGCAAGTGTTCTTCACACAGCACCAGCCCTGAGCTACGTCCAGGGCTCCATTCCTTAGAGGAGAAACTGGAGCTCAGAGAGGTGGAGCACTTACCTGAGGTCAAACAGCTTTCACGGCAGGGTTATGTGAAGATCCCACAGCCCGCTGTGGGGTGTGGTCAGCCAGGGGTGTGGAATGAGAAAACAGAGAGGCTCTGGGTGCAGATGGTGGAGGGGGAGGAGCTTGTTCTGCATGGACACCTGAACTCAGCGGCTGAGAGAGACAAGACTATGGCCCTCCTCCCCAGGGCCACCTGGCTGGATAAACAGGGAGCCCAGGGGAGGCCTGGAGCAGAAGGTGACAGTTCCCCTGGGACTCCCTCTCTTTCCTACGTCTCAGATGTCAGCTTTGTGACCTCCCAGAGAGACCTAGATACAATTGTCTGCCTGGGCTCAGTGTGTCACGCTAGGCTCTCCTGCCCATCCAGGCCTTGGCCCTTGGATCTCTCTGGCAATGGCTACTTTTGAAGGAAGCCTAGGAGTTGGGTGTGAGTAGGCTACAGTTTCGTCTCAGCACACCTGCCTTATGCGCTGGTCACCTCTCCCTAGACCCAGAACAGCGGGTGAGAAACCGCCTGGCTGACGGCCTCAGTCTTCTCTTGCTGTGCCACACTGGCCAGGTTGCTCTCTGGGGGGCTTTTCCCATGTGATAAACAGGAAGAAGGCAGGAGCAGGAGGGTCGGGGGGACACACATGCCCACCCCCAAGCACCCACCCGCTGTCTTCATGTGTCCATTGACATGGGTCATGACGTTGGTCCCTGCCTTGCCTTCCTGTCTGCCCCTCACAGCCTGCGCCTGCTCCCATTGGACTTGGCTGGATGCACCACTTCGTCAGTGGCTCCCTGCGGAGTGTGGTGTGTCAACAAGGTCACTGCAGAACAGGAGCTCGCCTAGGGCCTAGGTTGAAGCCATGCTTTATCTTCTCATGACCCTTGGCCTAGGCCTCCTGCTTGCCATGGAGCCCAGCCTGCCAAGAGTTCATGTTCTGGGGCCAAAGGCAAAACTATAGTAAGACCAGATACAGGGGTCAGCCAGAGTGGGAGCCCAGGCCTACATCTATACCCAGCTTCAAAGAGATTCAGGCTTTTCTCAGCCTGTGTCGGGGTGGGTCCCAGCTTTCTTTCCACCTGCCAGAGGTTTGCTTTGCAGAATTTGATGGTGACTCATTGCCCACAGGGTGGGACTTTTGTCACCGTGGAGCTGAGGGGACAGTCAGACCCCTGCCTGGAAGCAGCCTGAAGGGACTTTCCAGGCAGGTAGTAGCTCTTGATCTGGAGTTGGAGTTAGGTGGACATCATCAACAAACTGGCCTGGCCCAAAGGCTGTATGCCTGGGTTTGTGAATAAAGTTTTATTGGTGCACAACCATGCCTGTTAGTGTCTGTGAACTATTAGGGTTTAACAAAGCAGAAACTGTTTGGAGTTTTAGTTTTTTCTGGTATCATGTTTTTGGTTATTCTTGGAGAGTTCATGCGTACAGAAATGTTATTCTGACCCTTTGTGGAAATGGCTGGCAGATTCCTGCTTTGGGGAAGTCCAGGGAGAGGCTATGGAGAAGCCGTGGTGAACTTGGGCAACCCAATTGAGAAGTCATCGCAGAACAGAAGCCAGCACCCCAGCCAGTGTCAGGAGCAAGAAGGAGTCCCGGAGCTATCATAGGCCAAGGAACACAAAGTTCTAGAAGAGGGAGGGGCTGTCCTCCACCTCCCCCCAGCAGCTGCCTGAAGCCCTAGGGTTGGGGAGTACTAAGTGACGGCTGAGTGGTGGCCGAGGGCCACACCTTAAGTGTGTGCTGTGAACCACACTAGACAATAATCATGGGGGGGTAGTATGGTAGCCCTCCCGGTAAGACTGCAGCTTTTCAGAGAGTGAGGCATGTGGACAGGTCACGGACAGAGAAGATGAGGTTGTGTGCAGGAGACAGTGAGGCATGTAGACAGGTCACGGACAGAGAAGATGAGGTTGTGTGTAGGAGAGAGTGAGGCATGTAGACAGGTCACGGACAGAGAAGATGAGGTTGTGTGCAGGAGACAGTGAGGCATGTAGACAAGTCACGGACAGAGAAGATGAGGTCGTGTGTAGGAGACAGGCATGTAGACAGGTCACGGACAGAGAAGATGAGGTCGTGTGCAGGAGGGAAGGGCTAGTGTTCCAGTCTGCTTTTCTGTTGCTGTGATAAAACGTTGTGACCAAAGGCAGCTTAGATGAGGAAGGGGTTACTTCAGCTTACACTTCCAGGTCACAGTTCACCATTGAGGGAAGTCAGGACAGGAACTCAGGCAGGGAGGGACCTGAAGCAGAAACCATGGAGGAGCGTTGCTTGCTGTCTCTCTCTCCAGCCATTGCTCAGCTAGCTCAGGCCAGCTTGCCCAAGGATGGTGTCACCCACAGTGGGCTGGGCCCTCCTCGTCAATCATCAATCAAGACAGTATCTCACCAGCTGGCAATAGGCCAAGCTGATTCAGGCCAGTTTTCAGTTGAGATTCCTTCTTCTGTGTGGCTCGAGGTCATGTCAAACTGACAATAAAAATTAGCCGGGACAGCTGGGATCGGAGGGATCGGAGGCAGGGGAGGTGTACATTGTACATGCTATAGGCCAGGAAACACTTGGGAGGGCTTTGCTGGCAGGGTGGGCCTGGCTGCTCCTCCTGAAGGCTGAAGGAAATGCAAAAGAATCTCAGCAGATTGGTGGGAGGGTGTGGGTAGGAAGGACTGGGCCCAGTGGGTGGGGCATAGGCAGAGCAGAGGCAGGACCCTGGGGTGCAGCCTATGAAGCCTGTGGAAACCTCCTTGCAAGCCCTGCTGGCTGGGAGACCAGCTCAGGCCTTCACTATCCAGCAGGCAGAGGTGCCCAGGCATGTGGACTGGGTGGCTGTGTCGGGGAGGGAGAGCTGAGGGAGACTCCAGTGGGTGGGGTGAGGACAGCAGGAGGAGCTGGCAGGAGACACCCGTGGGTCTGGCTTGTACATCTTAAAGGCAGCTGGGCCATTCACTGTATGGGAGACAGTCTCCACGTGCAGGTGCGGTCCCAGAACCGCCTAGTGGCCACTGGGTGAACTGCCAGCCTCTGCAGCTTGGGCAGGGACTTTCTTCCCAAAACTCAGGGAAGTAGCAGCCCAGACCAGTTTTAGAATGATAGAAGGATGTGTTCGTCTGGATTGCGGTGGTGGGATGTCCGTATTTGACCGGATTGTAGGCTTTGAATGTTCGAGTGCATTACTTCTGTAGGTACATCTCAGTGAAGCCGGAATTAAGGCATCCTCTCCCCAGGCTGGAAGTTACACCTAGCCACTCAGGGCAGCTCAGTTCCCTCCTGGGATGCCACAGCAGAGGACATGAGCTTCGGGAGTGACAGTCCTCACACAAATGACTCCGTGTCTGTTTATTAATAAAGACGTTTGAGACTCTAGAGCAATGATTCTCAACCTTCCTAACGCTGCGACCCTTTAATACAGTTCCTCATGTTGTGGTGACCCCCCCCAACCATAAAATTATTTTTATTGCTACTTCATAACTGTCATTTTGATACTGTTATGAACCGTAATGTTAATCTCCAATGTGCAGGATATCTGATATGCAACCCCCAAGAGGGCTGCCACACACAGGGTGAAAGCCACTGTTCTGTAGAGACTTGGACACTCAACATCAACAGGAAACTGGCCCCACAGTACAGCAGTCAATCCACACGCCCTGTGGCACATGCTTAGCATGCTGAGACATGTCATACCTGGTTTCTGTCAGTCTGGGGGTGGGGGCAGTGGTGGCACCTGTCACTTTCTCATGTATCCTGAGGGTCAGGTGATTGTGACATTCAACATGGAGTTCACTAATGTCTCCAGCCAAGTGTATGTATCCACATGTTCAGATGCTGAACCTGCCAGGTCAAAGTTAAGCATTTTGGGTAAGATCATGTAGGGAGCAAGCAGTTCTGGAAGAGAAGGCAGGCGGGAAGGCCATGTTGGGCTTCCTTATCAGCCAGTTACAGATTCGCTCTAATGCCCAGGGGAGCTGCCTGTAGGCTTTGGGGGAGGGTGTCTCTCACAGATGACGTGTGTGCTTTGAAAGCCTGACAGGACAGTAGCGGAAGCTGCAGGAGAAGCCAAGAAGGCCGATGTGATCTTGTCCTTGACCACACAGATGTGGGGAGGGTGGAGGATGAGAACTGGATGGGCCCAAGACTTCAGGATGAAAAGTTTGTGTCTAGGATGGGTGGAACCCTGTGTCAACAGCTCTGTCCACTGTTGACCCTGTACCCCTTTCCACTCTACAGGAAGGATGCCTCTGGCCCTCCGAGAGTACGGTGTCAGCCGGAATGCCAGAGGTAAGGACACGCCCCACCTCCCCTCCTGTAGTAAGTACCCTTGCTCTCAGAGCCTCCAACTCCAGGGGCGCCACCCGCAGCATCTGCAGCTGGCCCTGTTTCTAGGAGTTCCCGGGGGTTCACCTGGGGCAGCCCCTCCCGAGCCCACAGCTCAGTCTCTGGATCTGGGGACCCAACCTGAGTCTGCCTCCCTCCCTGACCCTGCTCTGCCCCCTCCAGTCACAGGTCTATGCCCCGCCTCGACCCACTGACCGCCTGGCTGTGCCCCCCTTCGTCCAGCGGAGCCGTTTCCAGCCCACCTACCCCTACCTGCAGCAGGAGATTGCCCTGCCACCTACCATCTCACTGTCTGATGGGGAGGAGCCCCCACCCTACCAGGGTCCCTGCACCCTCCAGCTACGGGACCCTGAGCAACAGCTGGAGCTGAACCGAGAGTCTGTGCGTGCACCCCCCAACCGGACCATCTTTGACAGCGACCTTATGGACAGTGCCATGCTGGGAGGCCCCTGCCCTCCCAGCAGTAACTCGGGCATCAGCGCCACCTGTTACAGCAGTGGGGGGCGCATGGAGGGGCCGCCCCCCACCTACAGTGAGGTCATCGGTCACTACCCAGGGTCCTCCTTCCAGCACCAGCAGAGTAACGGGCCGCCCTCCCTGCTAGAGGGGACCCGGCTCCATCACCCTCACATTGCCCCCCTGGAGAACAAGGAGAAGGAGAAGCAGAAAGGTCACCCCCTCTAAGAGTGGGGGCCGGGGCACCTGTAGGCAAAACAGCAAAAACACTCCGCACTTAAGAGAGAAGAGAGTGGAAGGCAGGGGACACAGGCCCGTGGCGTGTGCCCGCTCTCCTCTGTGTATAAATATTTACATGTTCTGTGTGGTCTGAATGCAGAAGCTCAGAAAGCTTGCAAAAAAAAAAATATCACGTTTCTTTGTTGAGCCGTGTCTTGAAGGCAAAAGAGAAAATCCTCCACTAGTCTTTTCTCATTGTTCTTAGTTGAGCTCCATGTGTGAATGCTTAATTTCTTTTGTTTATGATGGTTTCACTTAACTTTAAAGACATATTTGCACAAAACCTTTGTTTAAGATCTGCAATATTATATATATAAATATATATAAAATAAGAGACACTGTATGTGGGAGAGCAGGAGTATTTTTGTACTAGAAGAGGCCTATTAAAAAAAAAAAAGTTGTTTTCTGAACTAGAAGAGAAAAAAATGGCAATTTTTTGAGTGCCAACTCCGAAAGTGTGTATTACCTTGTAAAGAAAAAAAATCCTACAAAGCAGGGGTTTAGAGCTATTTATATAAATGTTGAGATTTTGCACTATTTTTTAATATAATATATCAGTGCTTGTTTGATGGAAACTTCTAGAGAGTGTGTTGAGACTTGAAGGAGAAATGTTGAGCTCAGCCTGAACAGAGCAGTGGGGATGTCCCTCCGTGTCTCAGAGGGCCCCCCCACCCCCGTGTAAGAATGGTGGGCTCCCCGGGGCCATGCACCTGCAAGCCAACGGATGCTTCTGTCCAGATAGGCTGTGAACAGTTACACATTCCCTGCCGAAGGGGACCCGTGTTGTCCCTCTGGGTTACAGCTGAGTCAGGACTGCCCCCACAGAGGCACCTGATTCCAGATGCCTTTCCCAATATGAAAATAAACTGTTACCGAAGGAATCTTAGTTTTTTCTTCCTCTTTAAAACACAGAAACTGAAGGTTCAGTGGAGGGGGCAAGGTGTGCCCCAAAAGCCAAAGCTGCTCCCTGCATTTGGTTCCAGGGGATCCAGCGGCTCGCTTCCCGCAGAAGGGGCTTGGACACCAGCGTTCCGAGGTTGGGACGTATGCAGTTCTACGCTGGCATGTAGGAAAGACCCGGGGTGTTAGCTACTTGACCTCAGACAATCTGTTTCCACTCTATATTGATTTTCACTTCAAGAAGCCAATTAGTAGTCAACCCAAGATGGAAAGGGACAGTTGCCCAAGTGTCCCCTCCCAGGAAGCCCAGAAGGGTTAGGAGAGATTGCCACCACCACCAGCCCTTACCTCAGGCTCTGGAACAACTTGCCCTTCTCTCATTGGCACCGATCCCTTCTACCCAGAAATGGTTGTTTTTGATGTGAGCGTTTGTCTGTTTTCGTCACTCTGAGGAGCTTAGGATCTCATTTCCAATAGTTTAATTAGTACATGGGGTGTGATGGGAACTCTAGGAGGATTACTCTTCTGTCTTATGTGAGTGCAAGAGAAAATGTGTGTGTGTGTGTGTGCGCGTGCGTGCGTGCGTGCGTGCGTGCGTGTGTGTGTGTGTGTGTGTGTGTGTGTGTGTGTAGTGAGGTCCCCTAGGGTTGAGCAGGGGCAGAGGCATCCCTCCTCAGGAGGCGCTGCAGGAATTCATTCCTTCCCATCCTACACCCTTCCCGTTCACAGAGGTGTAAACAAGAGATGAGAGGCAATAATTTATATACCACACTTTTTATTACTTGAAAATCTTTTGGAGTTCAGGCTACCACACCTGTTTATACACATTTTTAAAATATAGGGTACCCCCACCATGCCTTGCTGAACGCTGAACCCAAAGCTCTGCAGACCTGCCTGGCAGAAAAACCCCATACCTGTCAGTGTTGAGACCAGCTTCTCCAGGAGGGATTGACCTAAAACTGGCTCTTCTCTCAAAGAGGATTCTTTGAAATGTCACATAGAGATATCAAATTCTGTTGTCACCAAGTTCCCATGTTGCCCTGTGTGCATAATGTCTGATGCCTTACAGAGGAAGCATCTCCCTCTGGGCTCAGGGTGGGGGCACTCCTGTACGGTGTCTCATTCACAGGGCCATCAAGGTCTACTGGCGGAGCCCAACTGGCCTCATCCTTCCCTCCCCTCCCCTTCCGCACGGTGGATGTGCCCTGCTTGGTGAGGCCCCGTACTGTCCCTGCAGCCTTCTTGTGGAATACTGCATGCGGTTTCGTCCGCGTGGGACATCTACACATGTGAGCCTCATTCGCGTATGTGGCTTCAGCTGAAAGCCAGGCTGAAATGTGCCCACTGTCCTCTAGAGCAAAACTGACTGGCCTGCTTCTTGGTATAGGTTGTTGCAGAAGCTTGCTGGGCCCATCTGGCTTAAGGGCAGGCCCACCCCCCTTTGATAACAACCCCGAACTGAAAAATGGGGTCCCTTGGATGTGGGTTGTAGGAGCTTGAAGAGGAGCTTGTCAAAGTTAGGACACATGCAAACTCATGCAAAAGCAGCAAGCATGCAGGCTGCTGGCTGCGGAAGCCTGGGCGCTGGGCCCTGGGCGCTCTCTAGATGCTGGTCTTCCCGTGGGAAGTTAGGCGGGTCCCAGAAAGTGGCTGGCTAGAGAGGGACCGACCTGGTTGGCTTGGGAGAAGGGGGTCTGCTGCTCCACGAGGCTCTGAGAAAGGGACAGCCCTTGACTCCCTCTGCCCCACATTCCTGTCTCAAGCACTTACTCCAGAGAAGTCATTTCCCCTGCAGAGCCCAGGGCTGTGGGACAGCATGGCAGAGCTTGGATCTGCATGACTTTGCCTGCTGCCTTTTCAGAAGCCTGTTGTTTTAGCAAAAACTTAAGACACGACTCCATACCCAACCTGTAACAGGAATCAGGGCCGGGCAGAAACCAGACCCCTTCTCCGTTCTTGGTCATTCCTGTGACCTTCGTGACACTTCCATGTGCCCCTCGGTTCCCAGAGCCGTAGACTATTGTAAGAGTGAGAGGAGTGTGCTGATTTGCGCTCTGGACTTCAGAGCCGGAAATGCCACTGCACCGCAGTCCAGCGGCCCACACCACCTGTGACACACACACACACACACCCGCACACTGTCCTGCTGCACGGCCGCTTGGCTTTGGGATGCCCTCCTTTGCAGCCATACTCCCCCACCCACCCCCCTGCGCCCCCTTCTGTTCCTGGTCAACACCTGGGATTTCTCCATGCCTGGCGCTCACCACTGTGGGAGACTGTACCCAGGCCTGAGAAGCTGTTCTTTGTGTATCTATATCTCTGGTGCCAATGATGGCGTTCTAAAAAGCCGCAATACGAAATAAATTTTACAGTTCTTTGGAGAGTGAATTTTCTCCCTTTTTGGAGGGCAGGGGGTGCTGTGTAGCTCTCCCCGCCCACCCCCTTTCTCTGCAAAACCCAGGACCCATGGAGTGAAGACAGAGGCTACTGTAGCTGCTGGGGACCCTTAAACAGTTTGTTCAGCCTCTGTTTCAGATGAGGTGGGGGTGGGGTGGGGGACATGTCAGAGGAAACCCTTGTTTCCAGAAGTGGCCCAATAAAAGGGGGGTTAAAAGAGTTGCCCTGATACTAACAATGTTTCTACCTTCTTGGGAAACAATCACTCATTACCTGAGGAGAGCTCAGGTAAGGTCTGTGAATTCTGAGACACAGGCTGTGTGCGAGAGGTGGACTATCACCCCTGACCTCGGAGGGGAATTGCAAGCTGTTTGCAGGGGAAGCCCAACCTCGGGCTGATCGCAATGTGCCTGGTGGGGTAAGCTATACCCAGGAGTGCTGGGCGCCAAGCCCTCCTGGCCCTCAGTGCCCAAACGTGGAGCAGAGAAGGGTCCCAGCGGCACATGGGCGCCCCACCTCTGGGTGCGAGGCTCAACACAAGGCTGTTGGATGCTGGTGGGTGGGCACACAGGCTCCCTAAAAGAGCTCCAAGGTGGTTTTATCTCACACACACACATATGCACACACGCACACACACACACAGTACATAGTACACAAATGTTAAGGTCCAGGGTTTTTAAAACCATCAGTTAATATGGAGCTGGAAGCCCCAGGGGTGACGGCAGTTACCTAACTTAGGGTTACCTAAGCTTGTGTGAACATTTCAGTTCTTTGGGAACTGCCATGGCCACCTGCTGGACCAGGGGCACTGGGCCACCCACTGTCAATGCAAGCTTCCTGGCAGTGGTACTCGAGCATTCTACAGAACCTAGGAAGGAGCCTAAAGAGTGTGCTCCCCCACCACTCACGGCACCCCACATGTCCCCCCCCTCCACATCGGCCACCCCGATCAGTACCTCGGAACCAGGTGCCCCTTGAGCCTCTGGATCATTCACAGAGAGAGCCGCAAACACTAAGGCAGGGCCGGGACCTAGCCAAGGGCAGTCAGTACTGGCTGTGTGCCTACTAAGTGCCCAAGTTAGCAACTTAGCATGGAGTACCCACAGCACCCACAGGTGAGAGTCTGGTAGTGGGAAAGAGAGGGAGGAGTTTGGGCCTCAAACTATGGCGAGGAAAAAAATACCATAGTAAATGTTTAATTAACTGTCTGGAAACCCGAGCATCATGTCAAATTCATTAATCGTTCCATTTAGTTGTCATGAAAATTTCATGATACTTCACTAAAGTTGAGGAGAATTTATAGTGAAATAGTCTCACCCAGTAAGCATTCCCAAGCGTGATACTTGGCGAGAAGACTGTGGCCAGCTTTGACTAAGTGAATTTCTTGTGGGCATATAATCTGGAAAATAATTTTTTTGTCTGTTTAAGTCTATCTAGGGCCTGGGGAGATGGCTCAACAGTCAAGTGCCTGCCATACAAGCATAAGGTCCTGAGTGCAAATCCCCAGAACCCACACGAAAGCCAGGTGTGGCGACTCATATTGGCAGCTCCAGTACTCCAGCACTGGGGCCGGCAGAATCTGGAGATCCTGGAGCTTGCTGGCCAACCAGCCTGGCCAAATCAGTGAGTGCCGAAGTCGGTGACAGACCATGTCTCAAAAATAAGGTGGAGAATTCTGGAGGAGGACACCTGGCACTCGGTGCACACACACCACCAGAAGGTCCAGCCTGGCCTGTAATCCCAGTGCTCTGGAGGCTCTGGCAGAAGATTTGCTGCAAAGCTGAGGCCAGACCGGAGAAGAGAGAGACCTAGTCTCAAAACAAAACAAAAAATAAAAATAAGTAAAGCATAATGTTGCAACTATAAAATTCAAAGTCAGGTGTGAATCGAGCCCAGGGCAGTTAGTTGTTTGGGTGTGGGAAATGTGGAGAAGGGAACCTAAAACGCTGATCAGTGGGAGGGAGGGGATAAAGCCTCCCCCAGACACTACGGCTGGCCCATGGCCACCTTCCCTGTCCTCTGGCCCGCCTCCTTCAGATGGGCTCTCCCTACAGTCAAGCTAGGCCACCTTTCCCTGTTCCTGGCTCACAAGGAAGAGGCCTTCTCCAGCCCTTGTGTGACTCCCAGGGAAATTGTTTCTCTGAGAGCCTGAGTGGGAGCCTGGTCTCCAACCCCAGGGCGTCACACACCACTGACACAAACCAGCTGTCTAAACTGGTAAATGACCAGTTTATGGTCTAAACTGGTAAATAACCAGACAAATATGTCTTTGTCAACACAGAGAGACAGCTGAGAACAGTGACAAGAAGGTCTGCATGACATCCTTAGCTCTCGGAAGGGACCTCTGATGCAGCCAGTCCAGGTTAAGAACTGTGGGATCCCACTGTCAAAGGGAAAACAGACCCATAAAGAGGGGGGTTTTGTTCAAGGCCCAGGGCCAAGAAGTGGAGATGCCCAAGGCTGCCCAACTCCAGTGGATGGAGGGAGACACTGAGGCCCACTGATTGCTCTCTTATAGGACCCACACCCCAGGGACTTGAAGAGGGGCTTGTCACCCCAACACACCTGCCATAGAAGATCTTTTTACTTTGCTCTAGGCAAGGACCAGAGACAGCTGGTGATCCCCTTGCAGTCACCAGCCACATCTGGTCTCTGATCAAACCTAGCTCATAGCCTTCCTTCTTTACCAGAGTCTGGTTATGGGGAGGGAACGAGATGGGTTTTACCAATACAATATGTGGTAAAAATATATCTCTTTTAAAAGAGAGATCACAAAACCTGAAGACTTGAGATCGGTAGCATGTAATTATCCCCTGCTTTGGGCGGGGATTTCTAATAGTTTCTAGAAAAACACAAGCCATTTGGAAGGAGTGTGCTCTCCAGGATAAAAAAGAGACCAGCTTAGCATGTCATCTTCCATCTCTGAGCCCTTCCTAGCCTGGAGGAGGAAGCACCTCCCTCCCTCCTTCCCTCCCTCTTCCTCCCTCCCTCCCTCCCTCTCCCATTGGCCTTGAACCCCACCAGAGGCTCTGAGAATGCAGAGCTGTGAATGCAGCTTCATCACTCAGTGTAGCATCCACTAGAGAAAGAGGCTGGGAACTGCCTGGTGTGGCAGAGGATGGCCTTGATGCAGACACAAAGGGACATGTCCTTGCCCTGACTTTGAGGAAGAACCTTGAATTGGCAAGGACACCTAGGCCTCTGCCAATATCTGTTGTATAGACATTGTTGTAATCTGAAGCAGCGTGACCCCAGTTTTATCTGGACACACGGTGATCCAGAATATAGACCACCTTTCACAGCATTCTGTGGACGTCAGGACCATATGACTAAGTGCTGTCTGTTAGGATATAAGTGGAAAGTGTGTGGGGCCTGCAAGATGTGTTCTTTAAAGAGGGTGTCTGCTGTATTTGTTTAGTTCTGCTACTGTGGTAAACATTCTGACAAAAACAATACAAACAAACAACAGAGAGGAGAGGTTTGTTTGGGCTCACACTTCACAGCCCTCCCAGAGAGAAGTGAGAGTAGAACCTGAAGCAGAGACCACAGAAGGCGCTGTTTCTTGACGCATGCTCAACCAGCTTTTTATACACCGCCCAGGACAACCAGCCTAGGTATGATGCCGCCCACAGTGGTCTGGGTCCTCTCCCATCAATCATCAGTCATGATGCTTTCTCACAGACATGTCCACAGCCAATCAGAACTGGGCAGACCCCCAGCTGACACTCCCTCAGGTAACTGCATTCAGTTGACAGCTGAAGCAGCCTAGGCCACCTGCCCTTGACTCTTTCCTGTGCGAAGGAGTGCACATGTGACAGGTGGACTCCAGCAGCCCTTCTAAGACTTAAGACAAACCCAAGCACAGAAGTTCCAGGTGGCAGAGCCACAGTTTAAAAAGAAGCTGGGTGACTGCACCAAACCTGGGGTGCCTGCCACCTGTTGCATACACAAAAAAGAAAGGTGCATCTGCCTAGTCTGCTGCTGTGGAGGCTAGGGGTCATCCAAGTGTGGGAAATTAACTTAAATTTTTTCTTAAACAAAGAAAAAGAATACAAGATAATCCAAACCTTTAGAAGTAAGAATTCTGACCAGGCGACAGCTGCACACGCCTTTAATCCCAGCAATCAGGAGGCAGAGGCAGGTGGATCTCTGTGAGTCTGAAGCCAGCCTGTTCTGCAGAGTGAGTTCCAGGACAGCCAGGGCTACACAGAGAAATCCTGTCTCAGGGAGGTGGGGGGACTAAAAGAAGAAGAAGAGGAGGAGAAGTAGGAAGAAGAGGAAGAAGTGACTTCCAGTAGGCATTATGATGCAGTCTTGGCACTCTAGAGGTGACTGTAGGAGGATCGAGAATCCGAAGTCAGGCTTGGCTACGGAGTGGAACTCTGTCTCAGCAATTAAAGAGAAAAAAGATTAGTGAATGCTGAGGTGTTTGTGACGGAGCTCCAGTGTCAGGTTCTGCCTTGGTGGAATGCCAGGAAGGCTGGAGCGCCCAAGGACCTAGGCTTCATTCCCTCTCCTGTTCCCTGTGCAAGAGCATTCGCCTTTGTCTGGAGCCTGCAGTCCGGCTGTGGAGAGGCACCAAATCTATTTTTTGCTCATGCAAATTTTGTGAGCACATGCATGGCGTGGGTTAGCATGCCTTTTCTTGCTTGTTATCTCTGTGTTTCTAGTTAAAGGAACCGAGGCTCAGATGCCCAGAGCAACCGAGGGGCAGGTCCTGGCTCATCCCTTTTCCTGGGCTTCCCACCCCACCCCACTATGGATCCTCTGAGAAGCACAATGAGGCATGGTGTGACTTCATGATGAGGACCTCAGAGACAGGAAGGGAGGGGCCATCCACACATTGTCAGCATGTATGAGTCCTGGACAAAACAGGTAACCCTAAGTCCCTGCCAAGTCTGCTGCATACCAGAAGTGTCAGCAGAGACCCTCACCAAGCAGGGGCAGAGCTGAGGGAACGAGGCCCAGTGGGGAGCTGACTCCTAGGACTGGACAAAAACAAAAACAAACAGAAAAACCCACCTAGGGCAGCATTTCTCAACATGCGGGTTGCAACCCCTTGGGGTCAATCAACCATTTCACAGGGTGGCCTAAGACCAGCAGAAAACACAGATATTTACATTACAGTTCATAAAAGTAGCAAAATTACAGCTATGAAGTAGCAACGAAAATAATTTTATGGTTGGGGTCACACAGCATGAGGAACTGTAGTAAAGGTCGCAGCATTAGGAAGGTTGAGAGCCACTGGCCTACGTTCTGCCCTTTAGGACAGCTAACACAGGGAAATAAAGGATGCTGACGAAAGAGACCAGGAGGGCAGGCATGTCCTAAAACCCAGTGCTCTAAGGCCAGGGCCGCCCTGGCCAGGGACTGAGCAAGACCCCCCCCCCCCACACACACACACACACACACACGGGCAAGGGCTGGTTGATGAGCAGACGCCACCTGGTGGTCGGTATCCAAATAGCCCCTCCAGGGAGTCTAAGTGATGTCTCTCAACAGGCCCATCTGAGAGCATTTAAAAGATGACCTTATTTATTTGGGGCCGCAACGGGCAGTGCAGTTTGCTGTTTTCCTTGGCTGCTTCTTCAGGCTCTGGTTTGCCCCCTGGAAGTCATAAAAATCACTTGGAAATTTTAAAGTTTCCCCATGCACAGGCCCCTGAAATTGGCTGTGGAACTGGCCTGGTCATGGCCTGTCCAGTGATTCTGTAAGGTGAGGCTGGCTGGGGACCTGCCGCCTACTGCTTGCTTTGCAGACATTTTGCAGGCACGTCCATGCCTCCTTCTGGTCTCTGTTTACTGTTCCTGTCCTGCCCTGTGCACAGGGGTGCCAAGGTTCTGCCCGCTGCATCCCGCCTCCCTCCTGCGGCTGGGACCCAGGTTCAGGGATATTGTAGTTTGAGTTGTGGACACAAGACCATCTCTGTGAGCTCGATCCCTTCACCTGTAATTGGAACAGAGTAGTGTCTGAACCGTTCAAGGAACAGTTCTTCTGAGAATTTATGAAAGTGAGGGACTCTTTTTCTAGAAGGTGTGTGGGTAGACAGCACTGGCTCTGCCCTGTGGGCAAGTAGGGGACTCACAGTCGCCTTTTCCTAGGTCACTGTCTTCACCCTTACGGGGGCTCTCATGGGACTCTCTTCAAGGTCTTGCTCTCTGAGTGGAAGTCCAAGACTCCTCCCCCAGAGGCCAACACTCCTCTCTTCCATGTCACATAATTCAGCTCCAACTTGCTCTTCTACCCTGATTTCAATATTTCTTTTGAGAACCACACCAAAGTTTCATTTTCGATTTCCCCAGAAAGCTGGGAGGATGGACCCAGACAGGTGCTTGTTTCCGGGGTAGAAACAGATGGTGTCTGCAGGTCCCAGAAGCCATTCTGTTCCTGTGGACTCCGCCTCAGGCCTGGCCACAGTGTAGGAACCTGGCACCCCCAGCCTCAAAGGTGCCCTGAGGTTGCTCTGAGCATGGCGGAAGCTGCTGCTGACCTGAGTACAGGAGGTAAGCTGGGCCTCTTCCCTCCCCTGAGCAGCGTTGGCACTCTGGGGACATCTGAGCTCAGGAAGAGGGCATCCCAGGAAGCCAGCTTGCTTCAAGGATCCTGTGCCCTAGATCCCTCACATCATGCTTTGACCCCTGACCTGGTTCATAACAGCCCTCAGGCAGAAGTGGTAGCTCTCACCTCATAGAAGAGGGCACTAAGGCCTGTGACAGGCTTCGGGCGCTGAACTCTGAGAGGTGACTTTGTTTTGACAAGAAGTTTGGCTCCGATTCTGTGTTCATGCTCTTCTCCCGGGTGCCGAGCTGTGCTGGGCGAGGCTGTGGGGCTGGGCACCTGTGGGCAGGATTTACTTTACTGCTTTTCTTCCTTGTTTTGAAACTTAAAAAAATTGTTAATTTATTACGTATACAGTGTTCTGCCTGCATGTGTGCCTGCACGCCAGTCCGTGCTCTTAACCTCCCGAGTCATCTCTCCAGCCCCCAAAATCATTTCTTTCAATCCTCACACCATGCTAGAGGTTGTTGCTCAAAAGGTTTCAGGGAGGGGCCAGGCCAGGTGGCAGGTTCAGGGCCAGGCAGAGAAGACCAGGAACTAACCCTCACCTGGCCCCTGTGGCTTCCGAATAGTACCCTTGCCATCCAGTCACCTCCATCCAGCCCTTCAAGCTCACCCTTTGGAGAAAGCTCTGCCCATGTGCCCTTAGGGGCCAGTGGGGGAAGGGAGGGCAGGAGAGCCCACTGCAGGACACACACCCCAGCAGAGAAAAGGTTTTGCAAGACAAGGCAAAGCCAAGCCAGGAATGAAAGCTCATTCCTATAATCCCAGGGGGCATTGCTGAGGCAGGAGGATTGCTGTGAGTTTCAGGCCAGCCTGAGATATGTGGTGAGACTTTGCCTCAAGAGGAAAAAAGGGAGGTAAAAACAGGCACATGGATGAGTGGGCAGACAGAAGGAGCCAAACGGAGCATGAGGTGGAACTTGGGTGATCCCTGGGGTCAGGCACAAAGGAGTCTGGGTAGACAGCAGAGGTCCATCTGACCTCTAGGTAGAGAGTGCTGGAGGGAACCCTTCTGGAGTTGGTGGTCACCTGGGAGATGAGTAGTGTCATCAGGAAGATGGCACTGAGGCAGGGTAGGGGAGAAAAAGAAGTGGGAAATATCTAAGCTGGGTTTTCAGAAGTGTAATCCACCAGGCAGGCAGGGAGACCCACGTCCATTGGGCTCCTGGCCTGGGAATACCTATGCCATCCATGTGGGTGCCGAGCTGGAGAGAAAGGAACTCCCTAGGCAGGCTGGGAGAGGCATCAGGCACCATGGAGGGGCTTCTGGTCCAGGCTTGCTCTCCCTCCTGCTCCATCATCTGAGAGCTGAGGGTTCCTACCTGTCTAGGTTTCCACACCAGTACACAGGACAGCCTATGCACCCCTCTGCCATATAACCATCCAGCTGTGGGGCCGGGGTCCACTCTAACTGACACTCTTGCCTCTGAGTGATGCCCTCAATGCTGTCTGCTTGGCCTGGGTCATGGGTGCCTCCTCTGCTCTGGGCTCTCAGATCTCTCTTGTCTCTGGAGCTTGGATGCTAGCCTCCCGTGGGGACATGGCTTGACTCAGCTCTTCTCTTTGTCCCCCGCCCAAGAAAATCTAGAGCAAAAGATCCTTCAGGTGCTGAGTGAAGCCGGGAGCCCTGTGAAGATTGCCCAGCTGGTAAAGAAGTGCCACGTGCCCAAGAAAACACTCAACAAAATCCTTTACCACCTGAAGGAGGAGGGCAAAGTATCCTTAGAAGCCCCTGCAACATGGTGCTTAGGCGGGGATGCTCCTGGAGATGAGGTTCCTGCAGTCCCCAAGGACCTCACTGCCCATCCTAGCCTCGGTAATCTGTCATTTAGGGCCACAGCAGACTCCTTTCAAGAGCTGTCTTGGCAATGGGCAAGTCCAGGTTCAGGCTTGGCTTCAAATCTGAGCTCTGCCGTCCTCTCTTGGTCTCTTGATTGCTTCTTGCCAAAGGAGCTAATGTAGAGCCTAGGGCTTGTGCATGGTAAGTATGTAATAGACACTGGCAATAGCAAAGACAGAGTCCAGGCAGCTGTCACAGTGACTGTGAGTGCTGATGGCAAGGATTCCCTCAGAGCCCTCAGGTGACTTTGATAACCGTTGAGCAGAGAGGGCCCACAGTTCCAAGCACTGTTGCTGTACCCAAGGCCACCTTGGCTTGACTCACTCCCATAGCTGGAGACAGGAAAGGAAGCAGGCTCAAGACCCCACCCTTTGGCAGCCAGCAGCTGTGACCCAAGCACATGGGAAACCCTAGGATCCCAGCCTAATGTCCTATCTCCTAGCCTTCCTGTGGAAGTGTTCCCTGTGCTCCGTGGAGCGGAGCGTCTCCTGTCTCCAACGGGTACATCTTTTTTCCTCCAGCCCCAAGACCCTAACAAGATATAGGCACAGCTGCAAAGAGCCCCGGCCTTCAGTTCAGTACACACCATAGGCCTCCCCAAACCGTTCTCAGGGGCACAAGGGGAATGGGTGTTTGGGATCATGTCTCCCACTGAGGCTCTGCAAGAGTCTCAGAGGCCAGACTCACCATTAGAAGCCAAAGGCTCTAAACAGCCAAGAAGTGGTTTATCTTCCAGATGCTGACACACCTGTGCCAGCCTGAGCCAGCCTCTAGAGTGAGAGCCTCATTCACACATCTGGTCTTCAGATGACCACTGCACTCAGTATGACCATGTGCCTCTGACAGAACAGGACCATGCCCCTGGGCTCCATAAGTATCCCAGGCTACAGCTGGTGTGGTGGACACAGCAAACACAGGGCCCTCTTTCTACTAAGCGCCTGCCCCTCCCCTTGCAGATGAAAGAGTCTTCAGTTTCCTCAAGGACAATGGGCCTCAAAAGGCCTTGCATATCGCCAAGGCTCTGGGAATGAAGACGGCCAAAGAAGTGAACCCACACCTGTACAAGATGAAAGATAGACACCTTCTGAGCTATGACGGGCAGACATGGATGATTTATGGCCCAAGTCAGAAAAGTCAAGAACTAGGTATGAGAGGTCAAAGTCAGTTTGGGGAGGTTGGGGGTCAGAGGTGGATGGTCTAGGGTCAGGTTGGGAAATTTAAAGTTCAGGTTAGGAAGGTCAAGGATCAGGATTGTGTCATCTAGGGTCAGGTTGAAAAAGTCAAGGGTAAGGATTGGATGGTCCAGGGTCAGATTCTTTTGCTTTGTTTTGTGAGTTATGTATTTTATTTTATGTGTTTGCCTTCATGTATGTATATGCACCACAGGCATGCGGTGCCTGCAGAGGCCAGAAGAGGGAATTGGGTCTCCTGGCTGGAAATGGAGTAACAGATGGCTGTGAGCTGCCATGTGCCTACTGAGTGCTATGCTCTCTGGAAGAGCAGCCAATGCTCTAACCACTTAGCAACCTCTCCAGCCTTAGGGTCATGTTTTACTGATCCTCTTTTGAGAGGGGTTCCAGCAGGGAGGGATGTGGGCAGGCTTAAGGAGGGAGGGCCACCTAGCTGCTGGCCTTGGCCTCACTCATGGTGCCATAGGGTTTCTGGCTATTGGAGGTAGCCTGATAATGAGGATGGCGGCCAGATTTTAAACCCAGGGACACATCCAAATCGTTAATAAAGTCAGTGGGACCCAACAAACGATATGAGGCTTCTTCTAGTCACTGCTGAGGGACCAGGAGCCTGGGGCTCAGTGGAGCGGGCTCTGCAGGGCTCTGAAGGTAGCAGGTGCAGAGTCTGGAGGGAGGGACACACTGGACTTACCCAGCCTAGACACAGGGGCCAACCTGAATTTGGTAACGACTCTCTGTGGGCACTTTGTCCAAGCATGATGATGCCGAGCTCTTAGCCCAGCACTCAGGAGGCAGAGGGAAGAGAGTTACAAGTTCAAGGCTAGTCTGAACTAAAAAAAAAAATCATATAAAACCTAAATTGATAAATAAGTGGATAAAGTTGTTTTAAAGTGAGTGTTGGGCTGGGCTTGCATAGTAGAACTATCCTGGAACTCACCACGTAAACTAAGCTGAACTCAGACTCACAGAGATTTTGGGATTAAAGGCATGTACCACTACACCTGGCAGTGTCTTTTAAAGTCAGATAAAGAAATGTACATTTTATAAATGCATGTCTAGAATGCCCCAGCCCGAGTGTGCTTGTCTCTACACAAACATGGGCAGAAGATATGGTTTAATTTTTTTCTTTCTTTTATGAGACAATTTCGTGTAGCTGAGATGCCCCTGAACTCCTGATCTTCCTGCTTCCACCTCCCGAGCACTGGGGTTACAGGTGTCTGTCACCGTGCTCAGCGACTTTCATTTGTGGAGAAAGGAATTCACAGAGGCTCACAGTCCTCCAACCTGAGCAGGCCTGTGGAGCACACAGAGCAGGTAGCTGGGCTCGGCTGGTGTGGGCTGGCCTGCCCACCCCCCTCAGCTATTGAAGAAGAGTGACAATATGGACGGCAGCCAGACTTTCAACACGGGGACATAGCTAAGTCTTTAATAATGTCAATAGGGCCCAACAAAACGTGTGGCCTCTTCTGGCCATTGCTGGAGTGAGAGGAGCCTGGGGCTCAGCATGGAGGGCTCTGGAAGGCTCTGGCAGCAGACACACAGGTAAGGCACCTGCTGCAGGGATTTCAGGAGCGGCTCCATCTGAGGTACCATGGTATCCATGAGACACAGGGAAGGCAGGCTGTGGCCAGCTCCAGGGAGCTCCTGAGTCTTACCTGGCACCTTCTTTCTTGGGCCCCTAGGATGGGGTCTGATTCATGCTGCGGCAAGTCCCCAGGGAAGTATAGTGCTATTCATACAAGAGCCCCTGTGTCCTTGAAACAAAGAAACTCAACGGAATATTTTTCTGTAGCTCATTCTGGAGTGAGACAAGAGTCCACTGCGATTATTTACCAGCAGAATCCAATCAACATGATCTACCAACAGGGAACCAACAACCACATCTCCATCGCCAATTCAGAAGCCATCCAGATCGGGCATGGGAATGCCATGCTAAGACAGATAGACTGTGATCAAAGGGGTAAGAGGAGGGGCCTGGCCGGGACACCTGCTATGCCTGAGTGGGGGGAGAAGGTGAGGGGGGCTTGGTCCTTCAAGGAGAAAGAGCAACCTCCTCATCTGCATGGACAGGCATGGCTTTTCTCAGAATGAGAAGCCTGGATCACACCTCACCTACACCCCCTTTATTTTTCCCTTCTCAATGAGATCCAATCCATCTGTGTGAGGACAGTTCAGCCCCTCTCTCAGCAGGTGAGACATGGTGGGCGGGCAACTTCCGTTCTCTGCTCTGAACATATTTCTCTCTCTCTAACTGTTGCCATGAAAAATTTGGATCATCATGCACTCAGTAGTCTCCTCTCTCTCTCCACCTCCCCCCCCCGTGTGTGTGTGTGTGTGTGTGTGTGTGTGTGTGTGTGTGTGTGTGTTTGCTGAAGTCCATTCAGAACCAGAGGAGGACGTCAGGTGTCCTGTTCTGTCATTCCCACCGTATTGCCCCCAGACAGGGTGTCACACTGAACCTAGAGCAAGCCTTGCAGCCAGTAAGCCCCAGCGATCCCCCTGTCTCAGTGTCATCCAGCACCAGAAGTACAGGTGCCTGTGGCCATGCCTGATTCTTCATGCGGGTGCTTAGATCCAAACTCAGGCCCTCATGCTTGCATGGCAATGCTCTCACCCATTCCCAGCCATCCCCCAGTCTTGGCAACCTGGTTTTGACAAAGGTTGGTACTGTCCAGCGAGGGGTTCCTCTCTAAGAGGCATTGCAGCTTAGAGGGTGTGGGGCCACCTCACACTCCAGCCCTGTCACCCAGGCACAAGAGCATCAGCTCCAAACCCAGATTCTCCCCATGCCCTTGGGAGAAATCTGTTCTACCCCAGGCCTCAGTTTCCCCAACCATGATGCTCCTAGTTCTGACAACCATCATATCTGGCTATTTTACTTATGGATGTTAAGTGGCTCACCATTTTTTCAGACTTAAATGAGTTTGAAAGTTTTAGCATTCCTTTAATTTGAAAATCATAAAAAGTTAGTCTAAGCCGGGCGGTGGTGGTGCACACCTTTAATCCCAGCACTTGAGAGGCAGAGCCAGGTCTGCAGAGCAAGATCCAGGATAGGCACCAAAACTACACAGAGAAACCCTGTCTCGGGGGGAAAAAAAAGTGAGTCTGAAAATGAGCATTAAGGAAATAAAGGCAGGGCAAAGACCCGAACTGTCTTGTCAAGAGGCGTGGAGGACTTGTTCCCACACAAGGGACTTTCTTTTGATGGGAGTCAAAGGTTGAGGAGAGCCAGGAGGCAGGTGGCATGTGCTCCCTAGATCTGCAGGTACCCCAACAATACTGTAGGCTTAGTTGCAAATGCTGCAGACTGCCCAACTCCAGCTGCCACTGGGTCCCCCAGCCTTGGGACAGAACAATCTGGAGTCACCTCTGGCAAATCCTTAATGCTCTGCCCTTCCCAGGTCCCAGGCCCCACCATCCTCTCCCACTACCTGTATCAGAGGACCCCTCTTCTCAGGACCCCCGACCTGGTGCCTGGGGAGATCAGCACATCCACATGGAGAAGTCCATGCTCCGACGTGTGCAGCTGGGCCACGGCAACGAAATGAGCGTCCCGAGGGAGCCAGTGGAACACTCCGCTTATAGCTTTACTGGCAGCCCCCCAGGTATCACGGCCTCCACCACCCCACATATTCAGAAAGGACCTGAAGCCAGACTCTTTGTGAGAAAAGAAGCATGATGGGAAATTTGTTCTACCCTGACCCATGGGAGGGATACCACTGAATAGCGTGTTGAGCTTTTAGATCTGGCACTCAGGGTCCCCAGTCTCCCGGCACCGGTGTGCAGCAAGTCTCAGTCATCACCTGCAGTGAAGGTTGAATGGGAGGAAGCAAGGTCACAGGGGCAGGCTGGAGCCTGGGTAGCGGCCTGGGGAAATGGAGAAAGAGGCCATCAGGGAATGGCACAGTGACTCGAGGACTTGGCCAGAGGCCAGCCAGGAACTGTAGATTCTTAGACGATCAGAGGTCTCAGGAGGACCAACAGAACCAGAGAGGAGCATCTCCACAGAGAACAGTGAGGCAGGGCCCAGCAGGAGGCCAGCAAACAGGGCTCTGTGGTGGCCTTCTGTGGCAGTTTCTGGGAGTGCAGGGAGCCTACAGGTAGGCGATGGGAAAGCTGAGCGCGGACATTGTCGGAGTTTTGAGTGAAAGTGAAGAGGAGACACCAGGGTCCAGTGGATGCTGAGGTGAGACGGGGGAAGAAAGGAATGAACTCTAGCAGGATAATACGTCCTTGACGGCTACCTGGGATCTGGCCACAGACAAGAGGGAGGGCCCCAGAGACCCAGGAGAAGATGCTGAGGCCAGAGTGGTTTTGGTGAGCTCAGGGGCAGGGCAAGGTGGTATTGCAGGCCAGCGAGGACATGCGCCAGGACGTGGAGGTGAGGTGGCTGGGCAAAGGCTATGGGCCAGATCTGCAAGGTCACTGGTGAGAGCCAGCCCTGAGGGTGGGACGGACAGGTTTGATGTCAGGACCAGGTCCCTGTACAACGCCTGGCTTCTCCCGCCTTTTCTCTTCGGTTAACTCGCAGTCTCAGCCACCACTGCTGACCAAGGAACTTCATTCACCATGAAAACACCTGAGCCAGGCGCTCACCCTGAGGGGAACACCGCCCAGAGAGTCCACATCAAATCCTGCCTGCTGGAGGATGCCACCATTGGCAACAGCAACAAGATGACCATCCACACTACGTCAGAGGGTGGAGTCACGGAGTCTGGAGACAGCAAGGAGCCAAAAGAAGACACAGGTGAGCCTGGGCACAGAAGGTGGGAGTGCCCGCCTCATACAGTCATCCTGCGGTCAACCATCAGGCAATGGGCTGGAACAAGGACACAGTGGTCTGGGACTCCAGGCTGCAGGGAGGATGCAGGTATTTGCATCAGGGTAAGGAGGAGCCACAGAGGGCTTTGGGCAGGACAGAAGCAGAGAATTCTGGGGTTTGGAGTAAGAGAATCGTACATGAGCAGTCCCACGAGTGGATAGTTAGAATCAGCACAAACGGACCAGGATGTCTGGATGTCAAGTGGACCGTCTTCCCCATCCTGGTGGTGGAGCGTCATATGGCTCACGCAGCGAGAACAGGCCATAGCTGTGGGTCACAGTCACCAGGCCCAGGCAAGGAGCCCTTTAGGATGGACAAGTCATGGCTGCTCCCAGAGAGGAGAGGCTGAGTCCTGCAGTCAGGGGGGCTTGTCAGAGAACTGAAGCAGGTAATCAACAGGGACCTGCCAACAGACACAGTCCCGGAGGGATCTGCAAGTGTAGACTGGGCAGGTGCCAAGGCCCTGAAGTGGGAAGTGAGAGCTGTACAAGGCGCAGGAGTTTGAGAAACAAGAGAGATCGACGTCCAGGAGCCAAAGCCTTGGGGGGTGCCTGCCGGACCTTTCAGAGCCTGAAGGCGTGTGTAAAGTGTCTCCATCTTATCTGAAATGAACTGGAGAGTCCTGGAGAGTGTGAACAGAGGCATGTGACATAGTATTGAAGTTTCCCTGGGCCAGCGAGATGGCTCAGTGGGTAAGGGCATTTACTGCCAAGTCTGAAGACCTGAGTTGGATGCCCAGGACCCACATGATTGAAGGAGAGAACCAATTCCCATCCATTGTCATCTGATGCCCCCCCAAAGAAACAAACAAATAAATGTATGTGGTGGTGGGAGCTTAAGTCCCCCTGAGGACTGTTGGGAACAAAGCCATAGAGCACGGGGGGGGGGGGGGGCAGAAACCCACCACAGTGGTTGGGGGGCACAGACTCCGGAGGGGTCTGCGGATACCTGCAGCCCCCGTGAACTAAACAGCACAGTGACCTGAGCCCTCACTTGCTCCTTCACTGTCCGTTCCTCCCTCCCTCCAGACTCAAGTTCCAAAGCCATGCCGCGTGGAAGCTTCTCCCACACCAGCAACTCCACGCTGCTCACCTCTGAGCTGGGAACTATGACTCTGGGAGACAGCGGCCCCCAGACCACAGGAACTGTGCTTAGGGCGGACGGAATCTCGGACACAGGGAGCTGCCAGACTCAGGAGTGACGTGAGAGAAGACAGGTGGAGAAGGCACAGGCAAGCGGCCTTGGTGGGCTTCCTGTGGCCGCACACAGGGCTTGGACTAGACTTTTTGTGATTTGGATGTGATGTACTGACAGGTGTTGACAGCCTGGTCCCAGGCTGAGACTGATCGTTATGAAGTGACAGGCTCCTGAGGGCCCTGAGGTCATCCATACACCGGTCTCTAGAAGGACTTGCTGTCTGATAACATCACTGGGAGGGAGTAGAGACTTTAGGAGGATGAAGGAAAGGAGTCCCTGAAGACATCAGGGTCTCATGTAGTCCAGACTGGCTGTGAGTCACTATGTAGCTAAGGGTGACCTTGAACTTCTGATCTGCTCACCTCCACTTCCTGAGCACTGGGATAACGGGTGGGTACCACCACATCCAGTTTATGAGAAGCTAAGGATGGAATTTCTTGCATGTACACAAGTGCTCTACCCACGAAGACACAGCCACAGCCTGGGCCATGCCCCTTCCTGTCTCTCGATCCATCTCTTCTTCCTGCCTGCCCTGAGGTAAGCGTCCCTCCTCTGCCTTGCCACAGACCAGAAAGCAATGGAGCCATGGGACCATGGGCTGACACCATTGCCACCATGAACCAAACCAACCTTTCCTGCCTCAAGATCGATCAATCAATCAATCAATCAATCATGTGAGCCAGCTCTACCACTTCTGGGTGTTCACCACATGGGACAAGTCAACAAAGCACATAGATATCTGTACATCCCTGTTGACTATGCTCTGTTCACAGCAGTTGAGAAATGAAACCAACCTTGCTGTCTGTCAATAGAGGGAATTCGGAGTGTGCGCACAGTCACATAAAAAAATGAGAATGTGTCATGTGCTGGAAAGTGGGTGTAACCAGAGACCACCATGCTAAGTGAATGAAGCCATTCCAGGAAAAAAAATCATGTTTTCTCTCATTTGTGGCTCCCAGATTTTGCATAGATTTGTAGAATCGCACACGTGGATGTGACATCAAAGTAGAGGTAAAGCCAGCAGGGGATGAAAGGGACAGACGGGAGGACAGAGGAAACGGGGAGGGAGGGCTGTATGTATGTACAAAAGTGTACCTCCAAAACCCAGCACCACATACAGTGCATAAACGCCCGAGATGAAAAGAAAACGTAAAGTCAGCACCTCCCACAGCTAGTGCTTCATTTGACTAGAGAGCATCTAAGTCACTCAGAAAACTGAGTTCAAGAATTAAACCAGGGGCAGGTGAGATGGCTCAGCCCATGACCCAGGTTGGAATTCCCAGAACCACACCATGGAAGGAGAAAACACAGGTATGCCAGCTGTCCTCTGACCTCCAGAGGTGTGCCTGGAGCACAGTGCCCCACAACCTCCCACCCCAACAAAAAAAAATTTAAAACTCTTTTTAAATTAGGAGAGATGGCTCAGTGGTTAAGAGCACCTGCTGCTCTTGCAGAGGACCTGTGTTTGGTTCCTAGCACACACGGCAGGTGACTCACAATGGCCCGTAACTCCAGTTCCAGGGGATCCAATGCCCTCATCTGTCCTCCACAGGCACCTAGATGTATGTGCATATACACAGAGAGAGACATAAATAAAAAGTAAAATACATGTTTCATGTATGTGTGTGTGTGTATGTATGTATACCAGGAGATAATGCATGCCTTTAATCCCAGCACCTGGGAGGCAGAGGTAAGTACATCTCTGTGAGTTCAAGACCAGCCTGGTCTACATAGCAATTTCCAGGCCAACCAGGGTTATGTAGAGAGACCATGTCTCAAAAAAGAAGAGAAGGAGAAAGAAGAAGAAAATAAACCTTTCGCTTAAAAGTTTTTAAACATTTATTTGGATTAAACCAGACCTAAAGGGAACATACTGGTTGTTTTTGGTTTGGGACAGGGTCTTATATATCCCAGGCTGGCCTTGAACTCCCTACGTAGCCAAGCATGTCTTTGAACTTCTGATCCTCCTGCCTTCACCTTCCAGTAGTGGGATTACAGGCATGTGCTACCATGTTCGTGTATACCGGGCTTCATGCATGCCAGGCCAGCTTGACTGCCCGCAGACCATTTTCCTCCTTTCAGTATGAAATCTCTTGGGTATTTGTCCCATCCACCCAGCTGAATAACACATTTGCTGATGTGGCCAGCACTGCCAGTCTTTGAGGTCAGGCTGGCCAGGACAAATGGACAAAGAGTGGCTCCGGCCCCTGGTGTGTGCCTCCAGGATATGGGCAGCTGGGGTGTGCGCAAGCAGCCCACAGCCCAGCAGCTCTCTTCATCGGCTCCTGAGCCGAGATGTTTTCCACCACGGCAGTTTGCTGTGATCCAAACATTTGTGTTCCTCCGGAGCCTCTGCTGAAACCGAGTCCAGAGGGCAAGCCCACTGAGAGGCTAGGACCCAACACCAGATTAGTGCCCTACACCAGTGGTTCTCAATCTACTTAATGCTGCCACCATTTGATACAGTTCCTCATGCTGTGGTGACCCCCAACCATAAAATTACTTCATTGCTATTTCAAACTGTAATGTTGTAGTGTTCCAAACCATAACGTAAATATCTGATATGGGACCCCCAGAAGGGTCGCGACCCACATGTTGAGAACCACATCCTTAGGCAAAGCTGAGGGGCTTTCCAGTCCCCTCTCTCCTCCCACTATGGCATCACTTTTTGAGGTGAGTGCCTCACTAGACCCCAAACCTGCCAGTGTGACCTTAGCGCTCCCGGATTCACACACTGCAAGCAACTGTCTTGCCATTATAAACCATCCAGCCCAGGGTGTTTGGTGATAACAGCCTGAGTGGGAAGGGCTGTTGGCACACCCTCTTCTCTCTCAAGGTCTACCAAGTCCATCTGACCTTCCTAGAACCTTCCCTCTTGTAGCCGAACTTCCTAAGAGCAAACTGGTCCTGCTCCTTCATCCTTGGCCCTGTGGGAGTGATTAGCTGGCCCATGTGTCAATCAACTGGCCTTGGCCAGTCAGCAGGCAGAGATTGCTTACACTGTGCCAGACATGGCTGTGGTGAAGTGATCATCAGATGCTTGGGAGGGGGGAGACGGAACTCGGTCCCTGGGACACACTCCACCACCTTGGGGCTCTGAGTGCCTGAGGAGAGCCAGTGTCGCTTTGAAGATGGAGGCCGAAGAGGAAGAGTCAGCCGGCCAGGAAGGCTGCTCCAGAGAGGAGCCGAGTGCCACACTCATTCTCGCCCTTTGCTCTGCCTCCCCTGTGAGGTAGAGAATGCCATACTTAGAAGCCTTGGCCCTGGGCCACATCTATCTGGATAGAGGGGTGCAGCTCAGCACAGGGTCTCAGAGGGAGCCTTGCTGTCCTCCCCAGCCCAGCCAGGAGGGCTTTAGGCAGATCTGCATCCACACAACACTCAGGGAGTGCTGGGATGTAGTGTCTGTTCCTGGTTCCCGTTCCTGAAGCAGAGATACTTCACTTGTCTGTTAGAAAACCCAAGTCCCTTAGTGCTGACACTGGGACATCCCGTGCAGCGTGTCCTCTCGTCTCTGTCTCTCCCACACACCCAGGACCTCTACTGCTCACCAGAAGCTTCTAAGCTCAGACACACCCAGGGCCTGTGAAGCCTCCAGGACACATTCATCCACCCCATGCACTATCCTGCTTTCACCTTCCCTGCATGCTCTCCCCCAGCCTCCACCCACCCCCTGCATGCTCTCCCCC